GTCAGGTTGTACAGTTTCAGTGGTCATGCGTTTTTGCGGCTTTTGAAAGTGCTTTTGGCTGCGTGTTGACGTATGTGTCGGCGGCGGGGACTACTTGTGTTAGTGGTTTCGATTTCTAATTAGCCCGTTATTGCCTCATTACGACACTTTGAAACGTGCCTCAGCCTGCAAAATTGTCTGTTGGTAGTTTCTCTCGCTCCCTTTCCGTATGTTTAATTAATTTGTCAAAGTGCACCGGAACAATGTTGTGCGACTCCTGTTGATGCTGTCAGTAATTTGGTCCAGGTAGCTTGAGCTTTCCAACAATAACAACTGGTCCATCATCCAATTGTGCTCACTGTTTTTCTCCCCTTCTCAATGCCTCTCACTTGTCTTCTTCAGTGGCACTGTCAGGCAGTGCTTTTGTTTGTCTGTTTGTGTGTATGTTTATCTTCTTGAATGCTGCCTCTCTGTCCTCTCTCTCACTCTGTCATATTTCCGCCTGCCGAAACTGTCTCTGCTTGCAAATGATTGTGTCTTTGTCACTCGGCGCCTTCAGCAGGCAGCCTGCGCTGCTTTGTCTTTTGTTGCTTTATCATCTGAGCACATCTTCATTTCACACTTTGTCTCTTTCCTTCCCTTCTGTTTTCCTCGGTAACCGAATACACCGATCGTCATGCAATTGTTTCACTAGTCCTCCAATTGACTGACAAACAGTTAATAGGTCTNCGCCTTCAGCAGGCAGCCTGCGCTGCTTTGTCTTTTGGTGCTTTATCATCTGAGCACATCTTCATTTCACACTTTGTTTCTTTCCTTCCCTTCTGTCTTCCTTGGTAACCGAATACACCGATCGTCACGCAATTGTTTCACTAGTCCTCCAATTGACTGAAAACAGTTAATAGGTCTTTGGTCATTCTCTATTGCACCTTTTGAATCCGAAGGTACCTCTTTTTCTTCATCTGGCGACATCACCTGATCACTGATGCGTTCAACTGCACGGCTAGATTTGGTGAACAGTGAGCAAGGAAAGCCCACCTGTTCACCTTTATAAGCCATGCCGTTATCGATGGGCCAAGTTTGGTTGTTGTTGATATTGACATTTGCCTTGTAGGTGGAAAGTTGTCATTGTTTCTTTGTTTCTCTGCCCCGTCTGCACAGTTTCATCAGAGCCTGCTGCTATCGCTCCATTGATCGCCTTTATTGTATCGAAATGTAGGTTAGTTTGATTTCGATCAAATGTACTCAATGTTCTATCGATTTCAAGGCAATCAGTGCCATCGTGATTCAACTAAAAGTGAACACCTTATCGTTGCTAATTTTTGAGCAGTTCAACTGTTGGCTCATCAGTAGCTGAATATTTGCTAAAGTGCTTTCCCTTTACCAGTTTATTTAGTTATTTTTCAATGGCCTACTTCTTCAACTGTCTTGATCGGCGACAGCCATGACTTTTAGCAAGTATTCGATAATAGGACCAATCTGATTTTCTGGTACTGTATCACTATTGTGCCAGCATATGCACTCGCATTGTTCATTACTATTCAGTTTATTGCGATTGCCACTGCCATTGTGGTTGCCTTCACTTACCGACATTTTCCCATCGCCTTTAGCAGTGCTGTGCTGTTCTAATTATGCACAGGTAATTTGTCGTTTCGAGGCAGCCACAATTACCAACAGCTGACCATCACTGCAGACTGTCCAATTAATGACAATTATTGATTGAACTGCCACTTTCTCCAAATGCTCTAAGTACTCTGAAAGCAGTTTTGCTCTCTTTTCGCTGCTTGCACTTTTGTTTGCGATGCTGCAAAAATTTGTTTGCTCAAGCATCTAAACTAGGGAATGACTGAGGCGTCTGTCTCTGAATCACTCATTTTGCTTTGAACTGTGTGCACTTGCCTTCAGTGACCATGTTCAATGTCTTTATGTTTGCCTGACTGTATTTTGCTATTTCAGGACTTTGTATGTATGCACTAACGGAGACGGCAGTTACTTACGCTGTCGCTCATTTCATTTGCACCCACTCACACTCCAGACGCTGCACTGCACTCTTGCGCTCTTCATATCGATTGATTTGAATAATGCGTCTAATGTAACATGCCGCAATTGTGTCTCGCTTGCCGCAATGTGGTCGCTGATGATGATGGTGGTGGTGGGTGAGTTTGAGTCAGACGCCACTTGCTTTGAGCTAAGCAAGTGTTAATTATACGTGAAATGATCTCCCTGTGAATTGAGATTCATTTTTGCCCTCCAAATGTCAGTCAGTCACTCAGCTGGTGGCTGCCTGCTTACTCTCTCACTCAAAAGGTGCACGTGCTTTTTTTCCTGTAAATCAAAACTGCTCATCATTACGTTGGTCGATCGTCTCTTTCCCTCTTTCCTTCTTTCCCCTCGGTCTACTTGACCAATATATCTGTGTAGTTTGTTTTTTATTGTATTTGAAATTGTTCACCTTTTTCAATATCTACAGTTTAGATGAATACGGTGACGAACTTGAACTGCGTGCTCTCTCTCTTTTCCTTTTGCACCTGCACACAAAAGCAGACACACGTGCACACAGACAAACTCTTTCCCTTGATGTAATCTATCCTTTATTCTGCTGACCTTTTGATCTTTTTGTTGGCGCTCACTCTGTTACTCCTCCTCCACCTCCTTCTTGCTGTTGTCATGCTTCTCGATGTATGTCACGAATCATTTCTGCTCATCTGTAGGCCAATTCATTATCACTCGGTGACTGCACATTGCGAGCACACTGCACAATAAACAGCGGCAACCTTAGCCCCGAAAAGCGCCTGTGCACGTCTTTCACGGCAAAGAAGTAGTGTAAATATAAATGGCCAGTTCGATTGAAGTGGAGCTGATGTGGGGGAGCCACGCGGATGTGAGTGTATCGGGATCGGGTGTGCTGCTTAGCTTCGGCTGATTAATTTGCACACAGTAGAGTGAACGCTGTCAAACAAAGTGTTGCTAAATGTGCGCTCAAGCAGATGTTGTTGCCTTGTGTTTAGTCACTGGTCGGCATCGGTGGTGGCTCTGTGCTGCTATGCATGTTCCAGCCATTCCACAGCAGCAGCATTTAGCCTCTAAATTGAGCCACCTACACGTGTCCATCAGTGTGTGTGAGTGTGTGAGTGTTAGTCAGGCGTCGATCAGACAGTGTCTGCCGAAGAGTGAACTACATATTTGTTTTCTTGAGAACCACATGTGAACCATTGAACTGTACTCACTCTGATACTGTGCTCAAGTGGACTAGGACAACATCTGAGCACTGTTTTAATTACCAGGAAGACCCTACCTACTGAAATGACGGGCACTTTTCAGGTAAATCTGGCAAACTGTAATTTGTCATGCTAGATTGTTGTTTTTAATTTTGTCTTTTGGTAATTAATTCCCGGTTTCTTTTTTGTGCAATCATTTTCTTTTTATTTGTTTGAACACAGGACTTTTATTGCCAAAGCATTCTAAAGTTTTATTGAAATTAATTTGCATCTTGATTTCTCGCGAATTGTTTGCATTTGCACCTTTGACGTCTGTGATCGATTGGCTTGAGTGATTGCTATCCCGTGGAGGCAATTGATTAGTCCGTCGTCTTGTGTTGTCTTCTGTCTTCGGTCGTTCATTAGCAATTCGACTTGGTCTCGTGGCTGCTGTGTTTGTGGCTGCCGATGTGTGTGTGTGTTTGTGTGCTGGTGTGTCTCGGCACAATGGGCACCATTGAAGATGTTCGATGTGCTCGAAGCGGGCACAATGCACATCATCTGTAGACTAAGTGTGATGATGACTTTATTTGGCGCGATGCTAATTGCCGAGTGACCATGTGCCCTAACGATGTTGCGCGCAACTTTTTTGCTGCTGCTGCTGCTGCTGTATTGTGTGCTCTATGGCCATTCGAATGTGCCTGTGTGGTGTGTGTGTTTGCCTGTGTGCATGTCCAATTGCGCGTGCATGACTAACCGATGATGGGCCAACAAGATGCAAATACGTTCCACCAAAGTACTTGTCAATGTACTTCATTATCGAGCTAATTGCCCAACGCCAGAATACTGCTGGAACACATGTGTGTGCCAGTGAGAATTGCCATTTACTTTTGAACTTTCTCCATTTCTCAGTTATCACTTTGTGTTTGAACACTCTCCAGTCGAGAGAATTATCTAGTAAACGAGCTTCTCATCGACTGATGATGCTATGCACTTGACACTTCACTTTTGATACAACTTTATTTAACATGACGTGCCATCATCCTCCACCCCGTGCTTGACAAGAGTGTGATGAGATTGCAGACTGCAACATGTTCACATTTTTAGACCTTGTTCAGTTCCTCGTTGCATTATGTTACGGTCTGCACAACAATACTGCTAGCTTTGCGGTTGGTAAAGCTGTAATACTGAGAAAAGGTATAAAGGTTTCCTTCCGATATCCAACTGTTATGCCTCCCTGTAGACATCCATTTACCTGTTGCTCTGCACTTGTTGCCGTTTTTTCCTTCTGTTTCTTTACGCCATCTCCATCACTGCGCACCGTCTTCAATGTCAATGTCAAGTGTGCCCTCAGAGCACTGGTGTTGATGTTTTATTGTTCTCCCTGCCTCTCCACTGTTCTCCACTTTTTGTTTTCCTTTGAACCAGTCACATTCTGTCTGCTTAATGGTCGCCTAACTGATCACCTGCTGATGTGCGCTTGCCCAGCGATTAATGACCGTTAAATGGCCGCTCTACAGACTGCGTGTGCAGATAGTGTGCCTTTTCTCTGTGACAATAATGCTGATCATTAAAGGAGGATTGAGGAGTGCAGTCTCTGTATGTGTTTCGTCTCGTTATCTATTTCTTCTAGCAGTCGCACCATTAGGACTGTTTTGTCTGCTCATGTTCATATAATCAATTCGCCCCAGTCATTACTATTAAAATTGAAGCGCAGCCCAGACAAACGAGCCATCAAACGATGCCTGGAATTTACTTCCTACCTTTAGAATCATTATTTGTGTTGTACTAATCTTTGTTTTATCATTTTTTCTTTTATCTTTTCAGAGGAAAATTCGCCCAAGTTCGTCGAATCTGTCACAAGGAGACGGGCATTCACTACGCTGCCAAGAGCATCAAACGACGGCGACCACGCTGTGGCGATGTCACCAGCGAGATTCTTCATGAGATTCGTGTCCTCCTAACGTCTGAACACTGCAATCGAGTCATTGATGTGCACGAAGTGTTTGAAACACCGACCGAGTACATCCTCGTGCTTGAACTGTAAGAACTGCTTGACTAGGCTAAATTAGGCATTCAATAACACTTTTGTTTGTTTGTTTGCACAGAGCAAAAGGTGGCGAGTTGCAGCAAATACTGGACGAAGATGAGCGCATTGAAGAGAAAATTTGCCGGAGACTGTTGCGTCAAATTGTCGAAGGAGTCCGCTTTCTACACACGCACAAGATTGCCCATCTTGATCTGAAGGTAAGTCAATCCGTTGTTAACCCTACTGCAGCAATCACGGTCAATGTCAGTCCCTTCCTATTAGGCAGAGTGTACTACTTTATTTGCATCATTAATGCTTTGTGTGATTTAAATCGACTGCAAATCTCTATATTTATTTGTTTGTTTAAGAATAGGCACAAATGAATACTGTTTCTTTGAGAAGAGTAGTCAAACGCGGAAGTAGTGCACGGATGCCAACTGCGTGTGTGTGAATGTCAGGCATCTTTGGATAAAAATCGGCCCTTTTGTGCCGACTGCCTACCAAACAAACACTCGGCATGTGGCATCCTCTGAATAAACTTGAGTTTCTTGAGAACAAATAGCAAAAGCGCGGCGTATTTGTGTGCGAATGTGTTTGTTTGCAGCCGCATTCTGTTTGACTGAAAATAGAATGAACTGCATGAGCATTTTTGGGGTAGAATTATCTTTGCTGGCATTTTTGTTGTATTCTATGCTAGATTTGCAACCGTTTTTTTGAAGATGTTACTAGAAGTGTCAATGAAAGCAGACTATTGATCGATGCTTTTTCTTCTGTCCTTTTTTGGCAGAGATTGCATTATTTTTGTTACCGGTAGTGTCTCAGAAAAGTCGTAAAAGAAGGAAATCCTTGCCGCATCGCTTGCCTCCATAAATGTCATTTTTTAGAATATTTTGCCCGGCTTGCTTTTGCCGATATTGTTAGTCCAAGTTCAGTGAACTGATGAGGCTCGATTTATGGATTACTTTAAATGAGCAACAAACAAGTGCTTTCTTTGAAAAGAAGTATTCAACAGCAATTGCGTTGGCGTTTGCTTTGTTTCATTGACTCATTAATTAACTGTAACGTCAATTTTTTCAATTTAATAAACTTGACTATGATTTAATTTGCTCGTTGGTGGTTAATTAAATTAAAAAATAATTTGCATTAACTTATCTTGTCTTTTTCCATTTTCAGCCTCAAAATATTTTGCTAACTAATCCACTGCCAGATGGTAATGTGAAGCTATGCGACTTTGGCATTTCTCGATACATTTCCGAGTCAGCTGAAATACGAGAAATTATGGGCACCACTGATTATATGGGTAGGTGGTTTCCAGTTGCTGGCACTCATTCAAATTCTAATTTGGCTAAAATTGCATTTCAGCGCCGGAAATTTTGCAGTACGATCCTATCTCACTGGCTTCGGACATTTGGTGTATTGGCATTGTCGCCTATGTGCTCCTTTCAGGGCACTCTCCATTTGGTGGCAACGAAAAGCAGGAAACATACTCTAATATCACAAGTGGGGCACTAGAGTTTCCAGATTCACTATTTGAAAATGTGTCAGAACAGGCCAAAGACTTTATTCGTCGTTGTCTAATTCGCGATCCTTGGTAAGCTTTGTTTACTTTTGATTTGGTTATATTTTGAACATTTTTTGTTTTCAGTGAGCGAATGACATGCGATGAATGTCTGGAACATGAATGGATATCAAATGATGATCTGAAATTAGAGATAATTACTACTAGTTGCGAAGAAGTGGTGGTTCTGACCAACAACGGCGTCGCTTGTGATGGCGAGAGTAACAAGGAAGAAGTCAAGTTTGACGCGAGCTTTACAGAGAAATGTGCTTCAAACATTTCAGTCTCTACACTTGATAAAGTACATTTTCTTGGACTTGAGCAGCCTCTGTTACTCTCTGTCAAAGCTCAACAACGAAACGATGTAGATCAAAATTCTTGCTGTGATACTCAATCTGGTCATGTGAACACTTCCAATAACGTGGAGATGGACATTTCAAATCAGCCTCTGTCCTATGAAAGTGACAAAGAGAACGTGGAGGTGGTGGACACACTGGCTCAGACTGCGATGGTCAATGTGCAGGAGACGGAGATTACGGAGCAGCAGCCAACTGACCAGACGAGCAACATCAGCTTTAGCAATCTCAACTCTTTCTACAAAAGTCACAAACGACTGTCTTCTGATACCTTCCCCAGTTCAGACCACCAAAAACTCATTGCTGTAGTCGCGTCCAGTTCAGCATCCAACTTGAGTGCTCTGAAGAAGTACACCTCTGAAAGTGCCATGTCCACCGTAAAGGCCGCTAATGGCTCACAGCCTGGAGACTCGCAGCAAGAATCGGCTCAGAGACTGGTCCGTTTTTCCGGTTCTAATCGAAATGACTCTAACAATAACTTGATGAAGGATCACTCTGCACCTATTCAAGTGCCCATCGTTGTGGAGGCATCCAATGGGACCGTGTCAGTGAACAGCAGTGGAGAAACCTCACCTCCTTCGACTCCAAACAAAAAGATCTACCTGTCCATTGACGACTCCTTCTGTCACTTTGGCTCCTCTAGCTCTGAAACCTCCAAGTTGATGTTCACTAAGCTGCTTCCTTCGTCCATTTTAACTTCACCAAATGTCACCACCACCACTACTGCTGTAATGCACAGCAGTTCAACTGGTGCTTGTAGTAAAATTCGTTCAGTGTCAGTTGAACGCCTGAACACTTGCGCCCGAGTTGAAGCGAGCAGTGCCAGCACCAAGGCCATTTCTTGTTTTGACACAAAGATGGACCAGATTTTCAGCTCCGAACCGTGCCAGAACTTTCAGTTCTCTTCATCAACCACCATCTCCTCATCGTCCACTTCGTCTTCTCTATCATCTCTCGTATCTACCATCAACTTTACTCGGGTGCATCAACAGATGAGCTCACAGGTGTCATCGCCTGGTTGTTAGAGCTGAGTGCAAGAAACACTTTACACTAAACCTTACTCCATCTACACATAATCCCCGTCTTAAATGATGAAAACACCCCTTACGAACCCACTACCTTCTTTCGGGCTGGACTGTTTTTATTACTATTTATTAAATCTCAAGTCCCTTTTTTCTTTACTATTTATTTTCACATTTTATCATTGAACATGTCAGCATACAGCTTCTCTTTATCTATCTTCACTATACATTCTTCTCTTTACATGTACATTTGTATTACTCGATTGATTCGAATTCAGCCTTAACTTTGGAAAGAAGTGGCATTGTATTTTATTAAAAATTTTTAGTTATTACAAGCATTGGGTTTGGATTGATTTAATTACTGAAATGATTTGTCAAAGATATAGAATAAACATTGACAAAACTCTTTAGACGCGTTTAGCTTCCTCAATGAGTGCCTCTATATCGGGAATCAAGCGGTCAGGAAGGAATTTCTGATCGTATCGCTTCACAGGGTAGCCAGTTCGAGGAGATATCAAAAACTTTTCAAAGTTCCAACGAATGTCACGCGAGTTTTTAGGCTTGTAGAGAAGCAGCTCTTCCTTGGCGCTAAATCGAGTTCGAGTCGATGGGCAGCACCGCTAAGATAATTATAGGCAAGTTTAAGTAAATGAGCAGGATTGTTTTGTTTCGTTTTGCTTACCTTTAGGAAAGAGTAGATTGGATGACGGTTCTCGCCATTGACATCAATTCGTTTGGTCAGAGGGAATTTCGGCACAAATCCTGCGGTTGGAAAAGGTTTGTTTAGAGTTAAAGAATTTGAAGAAAACTGTATTAATTTTTGCACAAACCTTTGCCTGGACGGACGTACTTGATGGCGTTAAAGATTTCCTCAGCATCAGAAGTGGGTTCTTGCTGCAAAGTTTTAAAAATGTTAGTTTGCATTAAATGAAAGTATCAGAAACCTACGTTGTCGAACTGATTAGAAGGGAAAGCCACAATAATCAACTTATCGCCAAACTTGTCCTTGAGCTGGTTGTACAGCGGATACTCAATAGTGGACTCACAGAAGGTGGCTACATTGACCAGCAGAAGGGGCTTGCCGCGAAACTGAGAAAAGTCGAGAAGACCAAGACTCTGGTTGAGGTAGGGAATACTGTACTTGTAGATGCTGTCATCGTCAGTTGGAGCTGCACACGAAACCCATGGTCGGTCTGTGTTCTCCTGCTCAAGAGTTAGATAGTGCCCTGAAAGTTGTGGTGTCTTGGCAATGCTCAACGGTTCACCAGTCAGTGGTCGGCTTCGATTCTCCTGCGCCTGAGCCAGAGTTCGCTTGATCTCCTCCAAGTCTTTGTTGATTGAGTCGAGAATTCGGCTGGCATTAGTTAGTGATGGTCGAGTTGATTCGGTAACGTCGCACTGGGCAACTGAGGCCAACAGCAGTGCTCCAGCGAGCAGCAAAAAACGGAGCATCTTTGGTGTGCTTACTGAAACTCACAAAGATGCAAGTAAAGCTGTCGATGCCCAGTCGGCAGTGCTTTTATATTGCAATTCGGTTGCGTTCCCGATGAGAAACACCACCGCCACCTGAAAGATTGATTACTTTTTTTGACTGAAAAGCGATTGTAGATACCAATCTAACAAAAAACTTGATTTGTCTTCACAACAGATGCTTTCGCTTTCGATGGATAGAAAAAGCACATTACGTGTTAGTAGATTGCCACTCTCTGAAGCCAATGAAAGCATCCCTCTTAAAGAACCTGAATTTGTCAGTGCCTCTCCTCTCTGACCACTGCTAGCCGCTGTGTGGTCGTGTCCTTGGCAACCGACAGACAATTTAAGAGACAATCGGTCATGTAATCAAACACTTACAAAGACGGTAGTAGACATCAGAGCATTATCATTATGTTTCTTCGATCATTTGTTCAATTTTGTTTACTTTTGCAGGCCTGTGAGCATCAGAATCGTGCCGCCCGATTGAGACTGTGAATTAGGGTGCAACAGCAGCACCAGTTGTAGCTTGGCTGTGTTCTAGTTGGCGCACCTTTGAAGAGCAGACGGAAAAGACTCCGGGTGCCGTCCTGCTGCCAAACCCAGGCGCAAACAAACTGATTTATTTAACAGAGAGATAAGTTGGCATCATCACCATCAATGATGGACTCATCTCATTTCTCACTCTCCATTCCGGCGATGGCGATGACCTTTTGCTATTTCTAAAGTGCAAACTTGTACACATCTATTGCAGTAGTTGGAAAAATTCTGTCAAAACAGGCAAAAAACGTTTTTGCGGTAGAACAATAGAGAAAACAATAAAAAGTACTTTATTAAAAAATCGATAGTAAATAAATTATTTTTACGCACTACGAACACAAACATACCTTGAGGAAAAAATTTGATCCATATTCAATTTATCTGTCGCCGGAAAGTTGCTAAAATGACAGTGCTACTTGTTAAGAACGTAAAAGATTCGCTTCAGCCATTCCTCGTGTCAGTGCTGTGACGATGAACCGAATCTTTCGTTCTCAACCAGGAGCATGTCAAGCGTTGAGAGGGCTGCTCGTCGACTGAATCTCAAAGAGAGAAAATGTGCCCGATATTGCCCAGCGACCTGTGGTCTTATACTGTTCCTGATTAGTCAATTATCGTACTACTCTGTCGCTAACTTTCTAAACAATGAATAATTAAAAAATGCGCAAATTGAATAGCAATTAATAATTGATTTGGAATGCATGCTGACAATTGCTTTATTGCGTGCCAACGCAAATGGGTGTAGCAAAACGCAACCAAAACTCAGGTAAATTAACTCATTTTACAAAAATAAACGCAATGATAAGTTTAAAATTTTTATGATAAAAATGACTATGAATTATTGATACACATAAAAAGGTGGACTGTGTAATTGATTGTGCAACAATGGTCGTCTCTTACTGGGGACTGCTCAAGTGGAGGCTTGGCAGCGGTACAGCCGAGCAGCAGACTGGCCAAATACGCTCCAGCTGACTGATAAGCGTGCGTTGATCACTGCGCACTTTGACTTGCTGCAGAGCGGGGAATATCAGTGCCAGTGTGCTCGCCATCTGATCGATACTGGCTGGGGAGTGAAGCAAATTTAAATGCAGCCGCGTCACTGATCGAAGCTGTCTGCCGCCACTTCGCCGGTGGTGCCGAACCGGGTCATTTTCATCTAGCACTTCAAAATCGATTGTCAGCTTGAGTGCGTTTAACTGTGGCAGTTGTGCAAGATTAAAGATGATCTCCTCAACTGGAAGCTGAACGGAAACACACGTTGCAAGGTTAGTAAACACAAGGGAACAAGATAATTGTGGTTCAAGAATGAAATAGGACCAGTGTATAAATATGTAATAGACAAAACAATGCACTGACCTGAAAAGCGAAATCAACGTACAGGTACTGTATCGCTTTGAACGATCGGCAAATGGTTGCCAAAGTTGGCTCTAAATCGGCCTGTTCGGTAACACAGAGTGGGCCAATGCTGAGGTGCTGCAGATGGCTGCAAAACGAACCATTTGTCTTCACAACACTGTTCAGTTGATCAGAGGTGAGGAGAACTTTGTCAAGAACGAGACGAGTGCAATGACTTCCTAGTCTGCTGAGTACCCACTCAATGTCGCCGTAGTAACGGACCACTGATAAACTGGTTAGCTGTGGAAAAATTTGCACTTTCGTAAGATCCAAACGGTCGTAAATGTAGAGAAGGTGTAGCTCAGTGAGCCAGGGCAGTGTGTTGATGGATTCGGCCAGATTTTGGTTTGAGAAGGACAGACCGTGCAGTGTTAGGCTGGTCAAAGTGTCAGCCCAAGAGGAGACAAAGTGCGGCGTCTGGCATAACTTAGGCTGGTAAAAATCATCGATCACTATCAACTTTGAGACATTGGGACATAAAACGGGTACATGTCCACAATTGTCATCACTGTCGTCTTCATTAACTTGCCTAATGAAAAGCGTCTCTACCGGTTGTTCCTTTTCTTCTTCTTCTTTTTCGTCAATTGAAGATGCATTGAATGCTCGAACTGACTGTATTTGAAACTCATCACTGTTGTGTGAACAAAGAAGCAGTGCCTTCTTCGATTGGCATAGCTTTTGGATGATGCTGTTCCAGCGGACGCAGACCAGTCGACAGGTGAGCAGCTCGTTGAGAGGAATGCGCTGCAAAATGAGCCAAATAACGTCGTTGCAGGCGACATTCATGGTGGACGACGAAAGGGAAACTGCCAATGACTGCCATCACAGTGAGAGAGTGATAGGGCGCCAAATATTTGGAAAGACTCTGTCTGCACATGTGAGTACGTGAGTGAGTGAGGGAATGTGTGTGTATATGTGAAGTGACCGTGTCCAACTATGACACTGAAAGTATCTCTTTTGTTGTTCTGCCCTTTCCTACGCCATTTCAGTCAGCAATGCTGGAACAGCAACAACAGCAGACGATGCAAAACAAGTTTTAACGGTTCCATTTGCAGGCGTTCATTGTACACCCACAGCAAAGCGGATTCATGTATGGCTTTGAATTGAGGGCTGAGAGGTCAGTGCCTTCTCAGTGCCGGAATCGATTCAGCTCGCTCTAGTTAGTCAGAGGTTCCAAGGTCTCTGGCCTTGTGTGTAGGAAAAATGTACACAGATAGCTAAAGCGAAAACCCGTCAATGAAAAACAGTAAGCTCACAACAACAGCAACCTGCGACCTTAGAGGCTACAGTAGTGGCCACTACTGCCAGTGACGAGTAGATATACTGCCGCATGACAATGTCAGCTAACAATCAGCGTCGTTTGACATTGAACAGTGTGCAGCGCAGTGTATTCACTGCAATTACCACTGATTATGTTGCCGCTGAAGGTGAACTTGAACATGGCAGCATTGAGGTAGTAGCACTTCCAATCAAAAGGTTATAAAACGCTAATTTTAATATATTCAATTAAAGGAGAGCAGTTTGGTGGCAATATATCAATTTTAGGTAAAATCTGATACAATGAAAAATTGGCTCTGCTGCCCAAGTGTTGCCCAACGCATTGTAAAACTAACTTCTAAAAGTAATATTGCTCGTACTTGCGTCCGTGTTGTGAGCTACTTTTCTTGATCTTTTTAAAAAAGTTTCCAATCTTTCCACCAAAGCACTTTATTTTACCGGCCAGCTTTTTGAGCTCACGAGAGATCAATTTTCGGGCATTTGGGCGCACAAATAGACCCCAAGACTTCATTAAAGGCGAATAGGTGAGCAGATACTTTAGGGGATTCAATTCAACAATAATCAGTTTCTCAATGATTTTTTCGCCATTTCCCAGCTTCAGCACAGCCGACAGTTTAGCAGGCTGCTTTGGATCTTGCTGCGTGTAAGTGATTTCATCAACAACATCATCATCAAATCGATCGTCAAAACCACCCATTTTAATGGGAGCAAACTTGATGCCGTTTGAGCCATCCTTTTCAACGTTCAGCATAATTTCGTTATCAGAGTTTTTCAGCTCTGAAGGTGCTTCATTCTGGCCAGTTACGTACTTCCACTTGCCAACCATCTGGTCAAAGTCAAGACTCTTTGTGGCACACTTTGGTTTCCAGAAAGCAAAAACATTGACTACCATCAGCAAAAACACAAAGACGGAAAAATAGACCATTTTGATCTGAAAATTAGATATCAAAAATAGCAACACTAAAAGTATAATAAACAGCAGAAAACAACGTCAGTTGCATATAAACAAGCAATCAGCTTGGTTTTTCGAAAATTAGATTTCATCAAACGCCAAACTTTATTTTAACTTCTTCGAACAAAAACTCTATGTACAGCTGTATCAGCATTAATCTGGTCAGCAACAAAAGGACGTAAATTAATTGCCTAGCAAACGTGTTTGAAGAATGAGCTATTTCACAGCACACACTACTTCCTGCTGGCAGAGCGCCTCAGGTCCTGCTTTATAAAGTCGGCAGCCCGTTCGCCGATCATCATGGCTACCGGGGCGAGGCCGCCTGAGACGATCTCCGGCACGACTGAGGCGTCGGCGATGCGCAGCCCTTCAATGCCGCCAACGACACGAAACTTGCTGTCCACCACTCTGCCGGCGTCATCGTCTCCGCCCATGCGAGCGGTGCCCACGTAGTCGCCCATGGGCGCCGTCAGCTGGCGGGCCATGCAGCGCAGGTAACTGTCCGACAGAGGCGGCGCTGAGGTGGGCAGTTTGGGCGGTGGTGGTGGTGAGGTGATGGAGCTGTGCAGAATGGTCGCAGGTGAGGCGATCACCGGCAAAAAAGAGGGAGGAGGAGGTGGTGGTGGAGGCACCGGCGGTGCAGAGGTGCTCGTGGTGCCGTACCGAGTGTGCAGCAACTCCCCAGCTCCGCCCAGTGGATTTCGGTCAATGATCACCACTGGCATCAGCGGTCGCCGTCGAACATTGGTGGCCGTTTCCACGACTGCCGTCTCAGGAAGGAGCGCCAAGTCATAGCTGTAGGGGGCAGCTGTCAGCGGTGGCCTTCTCGTGGTGCTCATTCGCCTTGTCGTACTTCGCCGAGTAGTTCGTGGCCGCATCGTCGTTGTAGTGCTTGTTGTGGTGGTGGTCGTGGTGGTTGTTGTTGTGCTCGTTGTCGTCGTCGTAGTCCGGGGAGTCGTCGTTCTTCTCGTGCCAATGGTCACAGTGTTTGGATGGCTGCTAATGTGCGGATGGTGGTGGTGATTGTGGTGGTGGTGCAGTGGCCGAAGACTGTACGAGCCATTTCGATTTCTGAACTTGTGATTACTCCAGACGGTCTCTATTTCTTCGTTCTCATCGACATTCACATAGTCGGCCGCTGTGGACACCGCCACCGAGGAGAAGCCATCAATCATGTTCGTTTGGTAGCGAGAATTTAACGTGGTGGCGCCCATCTTTCCTGAATCCTGCATCCAGTATCGCTCATAGTCAGAATTGTAGTTGTTGTTGTTCCACGTTGAACGTTGCTTTCTCGTTCTCAGGCCAAAGAAGCTGCCCACACCGCCACTGCCAGTGTGCTCCTTCTTACTCGAGTCAAAGAGAATTTTGGTGAGAAACGAAGAAACGAATTTGTTTGCCGTTGAGCCGTTCTGCTGCGGTGCCAAAGAAGTGGTAGACGACGTGTAGCTCAGGACAGGATTCATCGGCCAGGAAGTCTGGGGCTGAGGTAGATTCGTCTCGGGAACTTGTGCCACACTTTCGGGCTGCACTTCCGCTGTGGCAGAACCGACCAACACTACAGGGTCTTGCACTTGAAAGGGCGCCTCGTCCTCACAGCCGGGAATGATTGTGTGAAACATTTCAGTGTTGAATGCTCTAAAGGGGCGCGATTGTACATGTCGCAGCGCCTCGTACATTGCCTCCAACAGGCGGTCACGGTCGAGTGGGTGCGCCAGGTAGTTGGGGTTGACCAGCGGAGGGTCCAGCGGATTGGCCGAGTTCAGTCGGACCGTTCCTCGAGACAACGGTTTCAGCAGCACCGGCATAATGGTGAACTGGGTGCGACCTTTGTGTGGTCGGTAGTAGCGGTTCCAGACGTTTTGTCGCAGGTTACTTCGCTGTTCAGCCTGCTCCGCCGTCAGCTCTTTGCTTCCCAGACTGTGCTGGTAGGTGAGGAGCATCAAATCGGGCGACTCGTAGTATCCCGACTCGTAATCCTGGCGCATGTGGTTTGTGGTCGATCCACCCTCGGAAAGTGGTGCAAGAGTGGACTGCGATTTGAACATGGTCGCCGCCACTCGCGCCTCAGCCAGTGGTCCTTTGCCCGTTTGAAAGTACTGCTTCAGCGTTTGCTTGGTGACGGTGCTGCTGGGCGTCACTTCAGAGGGCAGGTCAACGGTAAAGTGCATCCCCAGTGAGCCCACATGGTCGTGCAAGTTCTCGCCCACTGGCAGGTTTGCCACCTCGGGGATGCCGTGCCGAAGGAGCTCCTCTCGCGGGCCAATTCCAGAGAGAAGTAGCAGTTTGGGCGTGTTGATAGCACCTGCCGATAGTATGATCTCCCGCTTGGCATAAACGGTGTAGGACTTCCAGTTACGGTAAAAGCGAACGCCGATTGCCTGCTGCTGATCGAAAAGAATCTGAAAAACGAGCGTGTTGGAGAGAATGTGCAGATTGCGTCGACGTAGATGAGGCTCAAGGAAAGCGGACGCTGCCGAGACTCGCTTTCCCTTGAGTGTGGTCGTCTGCAGAATGGAAGTGCCAACTGGTACGCCGGCATTCAGATCAGCCATTCGATAGCCCGACAGTTTAGAGGTGAAGATGAAGGATTCAAGCAGATGCTGGTACTCGGCAGATTTTTCCAACGGCATCGGCCCACTCACGCCAAAATAGCCTGATTTGGCGCGATCCGGATCGGTTTGGTTTTCATTGCGGATGATGTAGGGAAATGTGTCCTTCCACCCCCACGATTTCAAGCCTAAGGTTCACAATGAGCTTTTAGTACAACTGAGATTATTTGAACAAACGGGGCGTACCGTATTTTTGCTCCCAGGTGTCGTAGTCCTGTGTGTACGGTGGATAAGCATTTGTGAACTTCAGTAAAAGGGCGAGGTCTTTGCCAGTGCGCACTGATCGGCGCATTCGGTTTGCATGAAAGCTAAGTCTTATCAGCAGAGTTTTTGTTGCCCCATCTGAGCAATATAAACTAACAAGGCACTGATCAGTGCTCACTGGCAAAGACCTCGCCCCTTTGCTGAAATCCACAACCGTACCTGTGGGTTGCCGCGAAGGTAGTACATTCGATTGATGGACGAAGTGCCACCGATGACTCGGCCCGCTGGCAGCAGACACCGCTGATCATTCATCCCCTGGCAGGAGTGGTTCTGCGGCACTGAGTTGATCTTCCAGTCCATCAGCGACCCGGGCAGTGTGTCCTGCATTCCGGGGGTGTTCGATGAGACCGTCTCTGAGCCACCTGCCTCCAGCAGGAGCACCGTCAGCGACTCATCTTCAGAGAGACGAGAGGCGAGAACCGAGCCAGCAGTGCCGCCACCGACGATGATGTAGTCGTAGTACGTGTTCCATTGGTTTCGGGCAGTCTACAAGTGCGTTAGGGGTGAGAGTAAATAAATAGGTGATTGGGAACCCCCGAAATTTTGTGGATCACTTACCAGTCGATCGTAGTGCTCCTGTTTGTTGTAGATGATATTGGAGAAGGTGATGAAGCTGACGAGGAGATTGGTAATGTTGGAGAAGGGAAACAGCTTGGCCATCCTCGGTCATCGCGCTAGCCAACGCAGCGCAATAATGAAACTTTGCACCCATAGTCGCTGGTGGTGGTAGTGATGATGATGATGCCTGCTTTGCGGGCAACCCTCGGGGGCAATTGTCTGTCTGTTTGTGTGTATCCTCACTGGTCACGGTCGCTTCATTAGCAAACAGAAGACAACGGCGCCCTGGCTGCGCATACTGAATTATTTACTCGAACTCGTTTACAGCTTAACGTGCTGCTGCTGCTGATGGCGGTACTGGTGGCCACGGTCAGTTGGCGGTGATAATTAAGTGAAGAAGGTTGCGCGGTCAACTTGAGTAATTATGCTGCTGCAGTGTTGCAGTTGTGCTGAGTTGAGAATGGTGAATGGTGAATGGTGAATGGTCTGTCGGTCGGTCGGATGACCCCTTTTGCACCAAAGACTTCTGACTCCTCGTGCGTCCTCTTCCATCCGGCAAAGTGACCGTGAAATGTTCGCCCTCCATTCATTGTCACATTGTGAACTCATTACAATACACCTGACAGCAATCTGTCTCCTCTAAATTGTCCCTTTATATTGCTTGATGAGAATACAACTCTGTGCAATGGGCCAATGGCACAATGAAAGCGTACCAATTAAGCTCATTGTTGGTCTTAATTGTGAGAATACCGGATGAAACCTAGTTGCGTTTCATGTCAATAGTGCTAATGACTAAATTATGATTTTAAAACTTTTTAAGTTTTGAAATTAGTAACACTAGAAACCATTTGGAGCGTTCGCGCCTAAATGTGATACGCAACGACTATGAATTGATTGCAGCATGTTAAGATGGCGCAATTGTGGCCAACGTGATGCAGTGAAGGCGGGGCTTCAGTAGTGCTCGTCAGCTCAAAACACGCTGCACAAACTTTTATAAGCCCCGCCTCCGTTTCAAGGCAAAATACGGTCAGCCATTTTCTGTCCTCTACGAAAGGAGCACACACGATTTTACATCGCCAACAAAACTTGGGCGAAAACACACCTTTTCAGAAGCCAAACAACCATTTTGGAACGCAGAACAAGTACCAGAACTGGGACTGGAAGAAAATCTGAACCAAACAGTGCAAAACATCGAGTTTGCAGCGTTTGAAAGCCCAAAAAGGACGTTCACAGTGCGGCAAACAACAACAAACATCGGTATGTATGTATTCTTTGGATTAGACGCGGGCGTCCACTGATTCAGTACGTTTCAATTTCTAATTTCAAAAGATTTACCGGGAATCCAACGGTCCAAGCATACAAGAGTGATGGCATCGACGAGGTCAAGGCGAAATGTTGTTCCCAATATCAAATCAGAGTTTGTTTACGACACAATCACCACTCCCATTGTGTCCAATACGGTAAATGCGGATGAAAACGAGCACGAGTCTCCCGACAATGCAACCAGCTCTGAGCCCCAAGAAGCTGAAACAACATACACTTTGGTTCAGGAGGGGGATACGATCACTGCCTGGCAAACAGTGCCAGGTGAGGAAAACATTGAAATTTCAACGGTCGATAGTGAAACGATTGCAAAAGACGCTGAATTAGCTATTGCCGTTGTGGATGAGAGCGACCCGAATAATAATCAGGAAAATGATGTCAACATGGGAGACCCGGAGTTTCCCTCGGAGTACACGCCAACTTATAAAGCAAAGAAAGGACGGGTAAATCCACCAAAAGATGAAGATCCTAGTTTGCGGCGGTTTCCCTGCCCATTTGAGGGCTGCGGCTACATTGCAAAGTATCGGTCCAATTTGTGGGATCACAAAAAGACCCATACCGGCGAAAAGCCCTACGTCTGCACTTGGCCCTCCTGTACTATGCGCTTTTCTCAAACACACCAACTAAAGTTACACTTGCGCTCTCACACCGGAGAACGACCGTACATTTGCACCTGGCCCGGCTGCAACTCTGCTTTTAGGTGAGTCTACTAACCTTTGTTGTTTTTGATTTGCCTTTATAACCGTTTTTATTATCAGTCAAAAACCAGGACTAAAGTCTCACATGTTGACCCACACTGGCGAGAAGCCGTTCAAGTGCGACTTTCCAGGCTGTGACTGGACTTTCCGTCTCAAAGGTGCACTGACTGACCATAAGCGGGCGATCCACGAGAACGCGAAGAAGCACGTTTGTGAGTGGCCTGGCTGCAACAAACGATTCCTACAGCACTGTCACTTGAAGAAGCACATTATGGGCCATGCTGACATCAAACCGTACAGCTGTGACTGGCCCAACTGCAACTACAAGGCAGTCACAATGGCTTACGTCACAAACCACCGAAAGACTCACACTGGCGAGAAAAACTACGAGTGCACCTATCCGAATTGCAACAAACGATTCGTCAAGAGTAGCCATGTCAACCGTCACCGACAGCGATGCCACCCTGACCTCTTTGTGGACGGTGAAGACCTTCCTGAAGACATGCACAGTGAGGGCGATGAAGAGGACGATGATGAGGAACAGTATGAGCAGGAAGAGGCCGCGGCTAGCACTCCTCGGCGCACTGCTCGGCGAAATGCAAAGAAGGATTCAGCCCCTCAAATACTGTACATGAAAGAGGAGGAAGGCGCGACTACCATCTACATCCAGTCAGAGGAGGTCGAAGAGGAAATGGTGCACGATGGCAATGTGGCGCAGTTTATCAACGGCTCGATGGTCACTTCGGACACTGGCGAGCAGTTCATCATTTCCACCAATGCCGATTCGGGCGATTTCCAAGCAACCCCAATTATGATTGAGATGAAGCAGGAGGGCAACGAGGAGGAGGTGGTTGAGATGGCGGGCGAACACAGTATTGTCATTAACAATGAAGAGCATGACGGCGTTTCCGAGGAGCAGCACCAGCAGGTAGTGCAGCACGAAGTGGAAGCTGAACAGGCTGATGAGCAACACTTTGAGAATGGCGAATACTAAACAAATAACATCAGATTCTTTCCACTGTATTACCACATTTCAGCTTTCCACTGCACAGAAGCTGAAAATCCAATAGATAAAAAAGTCTCACTTTTACACATTCAATTATTTTGTCCACACATACACACGTTTTTTGGCTTCGGGTAATTTGTCATCATCTTAATTATTTCAATGTGTACTAGATAAGCCCCGATTGTTTACTAGCTAGAAATAAATACCATTTTCCAAATTTTCTATCTAACCGTTAATACATATTCCCTACATAAGATTGAGTGTTATAAACCAACTTTTTTCCTTCATTAACCTAATAAAGACATTATTCACTGAATGCCAAAAAAATGGTGACTATTGTGGCTGGAACAACAGTCGGGCATGTGTGTCCACACATTCCGTCCTCATCCAGGGGAGTGCTAACCTTCTCTCCTTCCCACAGGACACAAACAGCTGTCGCGCTGAGCTGCCTTATATAGCCTGCTAACGTCAGGGCTGCCACCGCTACAGGCGGTAAGCGTAAGAAGTGTACAATTCTTTAGAGAATACAGAAAGGGAATCAATTTTAAAACATTTTTTCATTTAAACATCAATTGACGTATTTTACTTTTCTGTATATGAATTGTTTAAAAAATGTAATAAAAGAGAGCTTTTCATTTCCTTGTTTTGAAACTGTGATTAGAAAAATGATATTGCTTTCATGCTGCAAACAAAATTATTAAATGTCTAGGTTTTGATTTTGGTAAAAATTGTAAGGTTAAAGCATTATTAAAACCATATTTGGAATTAAAGTGCAGTAGTACTCGCCGGAAGGAGTCGGCCGACACCGATCAAAAGTTTACCAAACAATCAGTGAACGATGCATTTGTGTTGGCTGTTGAAATTCGATGCAGACACAGTAGCAGTATGCAAAGGACAAGATCAGAAAGCTTAGCGACAAGAACTTTTGTTCAAATGCATATTTAATCCAACTTTTTGATAAAATCGATCATCATTTTCTACAAGTATGACATTACCAGTTGTGAGTTGCCCAAGGGCAAAAAGAGCGTTGACGATTTTGGTACCGTTTTTCATCTTTCTGTCGCTCCTTCTGTCGACCACTGCTAACTTTATCTGCAGTTTTCAAAATCAAAATTGTGGTTATGAATGGCAGCCCAATCTGCTGCCATTTAAACAGGTGAACGAGTTCGCACACATGTCCACTTCCGGTATGATGCTGCTCGATTTGAAGGACGTCAACGTGACCATCGCATCAGGAGCTCGACTTTTCAGTCGCTACTACCCGGCCCATGCCTTGAGAAGGGTAAGTGATTTTGGATTACTGCACAAAATTGTCCAAGTGAGTTTTACTTTTCACTTACGCCATACTCCCTAGACCTGTTTGACCGTTAAGTTTCTGACCTTTGGCGAGGGCATCATCAAGATGGCCATCATTCAGCGTGGCGCCACTGACCAGCGAGTGTACGAGTACGAGAACGACTGGTACCCTGCCCAGCCGAGTAACCGCCTCGATCAACTGTGGATCATCCTGACCATTCCAGTGGATCCCTTTGAGGGGGACGTAATGTTCTTCTTTGAGGTGATCACCGATGGCACCTCACACAATGGCATCTTTGCCGTGGACTACGTCGCTTTCCTCTACTACCAGTGTCCATTCAAGCAGATGTTCTACTATCCGTGTCGCGATGATTCCTGTGCTGCCAGCTGATGATCTGCATGAACTTGCCATTACTTTACCATTGACTAGTGTGTAACTGCCCTTTTGTGTAACTTCATTGAAAGTTGTATTCACTACTAACTAAAGTTTACTCGGGTCAGAGTGGGGAGAGTGGTGGGCCTAGCTAGCAAGCACATGCCTTCACAGCTGATTAGCGCTGCAGAGCAAGTAAGCGAACAAGTGACGAAGCACTGGCTGTTTTCCACGCTCACACACACTCACACTCACACCTAAAACAATCAACTTTGATACTGCTGTCAGTGCCTTATCATTGGTGTGATTAGCTGGTGGTGATATAACTGCAAAGTCGATAAAAGACGCTGCAAAAGTGACACTTGAGTACTCTGCATGTGAGGGCAAGTGATTTAGGCATTCACTCGGCTCTGTTTTACTAGCACACACATCGCACACCATTTTACTCCATTCTCATCGGTAATTGGCACTGTTCAACTTTTCTTTCTCTCATCCTCTTTCAACGTTTTGCAGCTCCATCCGAGACAACAATGGCAGCAAGCACCATCAAAATTGGCATCATTGGTGGCACTGGTCTGGACCAGGACGCCAGCATTCTCCAGGACCGAGAGATGCTGCCCGTTCCCCAGACTCCCTATGGCTCGCCCAGTGACCCCGAGGTGGTGCACGGCAAGATTGACGGCATCGAGGTGTTCATTCTCGGTCGACACGGGCGCAAGCACGACGTCAGCCCCTCCAACGTCAACTACCGCGCCAATCTGTGGACCTTTCGTGAGCTGGGGGTGACGCACGTGCTCGCCACCACAGCCTGCGGATCGCTGAAGGAGGAAATCGCCCCCGGGCACCTGGCCATCGTCGACCAGTACATCGACCGGACGAACATTCGCGGCGGTCGATCCTTCTACCGGGTGGCGCACATTCCCCAGCCGCGTCCATTCGAGCCGCAACTGCAGCAGATCCTCCTCGAGTCGGCCACCGAGGCGGGCTACCCGGTGCACCCGGCGGTGACGGCGGTCGCCATCGAGGGGCCGCGCTTTTCGACGCTGGCCGAGAGCAAGCTGTACCAGTCGTGGGGCGCCGACCTGGTGAACATGACACTGGTGCCGGAGGTGCAGCTCGCCTCTGAGCTAGGTCTGCTGTACGCCTCGGTGGCGCTGGTCACCGACTACGACTGCTGGCACAGCGACGAGCTGTCTGTGTCGGTAGACTTTGTGATGAACATGCTGCAGACGCTCTCCGGCAAGGCCAAGGACGTTCTCGTGCGCGCCATTGCCAAGATCAAGACGGTCGACTGGACTGAGACGATGGAGAAGCGACGGACTGCCGCCAAGGTGGCCATTATGGTCGAGTGAGAGAGAAAGGCACTGGTGCCTCTTGCCACCTGACTACGCTTCACAGTACAGCACAATGTACATTCATTGCCTCTTCCTCTTTATCTCTCTGACACTGCTACTGTTGCTGCTAACATAAACTAAATTTGAACAAAAATTAAATTATAACCACACACACAAACACGATTGATTGCACAATGAGTTTAGATTAACACGCTCTCTGATCACAACAAGATTATCAGATTCGCCTGAAGGTAGGTAATTTGTAGCTCTCACGACAGTGAATCGGACACTGCTGATGACTGAAATTCCGTCAATGATTCTCTGATTTCTTTCAATGTTTTGCCTGGCGCAACAAGTGCAATTATCCTTCTTGTATTCAAGTTCATGCCAAGTACAGTTTTAGTTCAATTTGATGTTCCGCTGTAAACAGAGAAAGTACGGTTCACGGAAAAGTATCCAAGTTTACGACCTCCATTCACTTCATATCAGTACCCTTGAAGAAGCAAAGTGCTCGATATTGCGCCACAAATTGGATTGCGCCTCTCACGTGCTCGCAACTCCTTCTTCATCACTGTGCATCTAATTAACACTTTTCTTCCGATGATCATCAACGAGCCTTGAAGAAGGTCAGGTATATAAAGGTTTGAACTCTGAAAAATCGAACTTCAATATTGTGACTGCAAAACATCATTCAACTGATTGGCTAACATCAGATCATGCGGATCAATTTGGCGACACTGTGTCTGCTCTGCGCTTTTGCTGCGCTGTCAGCAGAAGCAAAGAATGAGTGCAACAAGTCAGTGTTTGACAAGTGCAATGAAAAGCTGTACATGGTTGGCGATGACACCTTTGTCTTTCCAAAGAGCATCTCAGAGATGAACAAACGATGCAAGTAAGTGGTCAGGGTACTCAGTATTTGCCCCAAACAATGCAATGTTTTCATTGTCAGAGAATTGAAACGCCTGGAAAGCTGTGTGAAGCAGTACGCATCAAAGTGTCTGCACAAGGAGAGCAAGCAATCAGTGTCTGTGCTGTCGTACGGAGTGACCAAGACGAACCGGGGCTACTGCTCAAGTGGCAAGCGAAAGGGCGTCTTCATTCGGATGGCCAGTAAGTGTGTGACGAAGAACAAGGGCAAACTGGACAGTGCAATGTGGCAGATGAGTGCAGACTTCCAGGCCATTGCCCGCCACCACAATGACTCCAGTACGAAGATTCCGCTCATGTGCTGGTAAGCAGAGTTTGAGAGCTGACTTTTTCAATGACTAAATCTCATCCCATGCAGCAATTACTACAAGTTTAAACAGAACTGCTTGGCAGTGCTGGGCACAAACTGCGCCGCCGAGGACATTGCCGAATTTGAGACTCTCATTGATGGCTACACCGTGGACATTCTTTCGTTACTATGTACTGATTACACGTAAGTTTCTTTACAAGTGTTTTATTTACGAAAATCTAAATTCACCAATTACAGGGAAGAGTCCGACAAGTGCACAAAGATAATAGAGCAGACGCCCAAGGGGACAGTGGATTTAAAGGCGCAATCAAAGACTTTTGTATTACCTCTGGTAGATGTCTTGGACAGTCTTTAAATAAAATATAAATACCTCAAACAAGCATTTTACTGAATAAAGCTTGAATTTGATTGATTTTTACAATCTGCACAAGTTGTTTTCTCGGCGCGCGAAAACGGGAATGACTCTGCTGACTGTCAGCAGCTGACATGCGCTTTGCAAGTTCGCTGTTTGACAAAACAAAACAGAAGTTTGATGTTTACATTGGTAATTTGGACTTGCTGTCCATCATGTTGCCCATCTGGGACCAGTTTCTCCAGTGGATCACCTTTGACCTGTTCTGGACGGTTATGACACTTGGCATCCTCGTTGATGGGTTGATTGCACTGTACATCGACTCACCAGTTGTACCGCAGTTTATGCGGACTCTTCTGCTTTTCGGCAAGTTTGGAAAAGAACCAAAGTTAACCAAGCCAACTAAAGAGTCATCAACAAAAGAAAGTAGCGCCTGGGTGGTGCTCTGCGACGGCATCAATTCAGTGCTGAAGAAACTCGAAGTGCCTAAATCGTGGTTCCGACACTTTTACATCTACTTGTTGGTTGTTTGGTGTCTAGTCGTATTCAATCTCCTCGCCAGTAAAACTGAATTTTTCCGCAACTTTTCTGTTGGTCACCTTCTGTTGGCTACTCAACTGATGCAAAGTTGTCGCCGGATCTACGAAACCAACTTTGTGTCGATATACTCAGGTAAACTTGTGAAAGACTATCTAAACAGTATTTATAAAAACATTTGTTTATTTTCAGACAACTCCATCAACTTTGTTCACTACCTTACCGGCTACCTCTTTTATTCTTCTCTTGGATACGTCACCTATAGCAGCATAAAAAACAGTCAGTCTTCCAATGAATTTCCAGGACTAAGCAGTTGGTTATTCTTTTCGCTCTTTATTTTTGCTTCGTACATTCAGTATAATAGTCACGTCATACTGGCCCGATTACGAACTGATAAGCCATTCTCAGAAGAACATTCTCAGCACAACTATCACATTCCAAGAGCTGGTCTTTTTCGGCTGATAACGTGCCCACACTATCTGGCGGAAATTCTCATTTACCTGTCCATGTACCAATTGACGCCCTACACTAGCTCCTTAAACTTCAGCTGGTTATTCCTTGTTCTTTTCGTGATTGCCAACCAACTAGTCGCTTCTCTTGTCACTCATCGCTGGTACAGTGCCAAATTCGGAGACAAATTCTCGCCACAAGTTAAGGCGGTTATTCCATTTGTACTTTGAGGAATCAGTGAAAGCTTGTTTTATTTTATTTTATTGCTCAAGTTTATTAAAGAAACACTACAGAATACAAATAATTTTTATTTCCTAAGTTTGTGACACGATGATTTGCACAATGAATGTTTGGTTTTACTCGTTTGCCAACAGAGACCGAACAAACCTTAGTCCAACAACCAGGGCGCCAAAGACTAGTATGTTTTTTAAGAGTTGCTGCTTACTCTGCTTTTGCTGGTCGTCCTGACTGTAAGCTCCCATTTCGTTTTCGTCCAATTGGAACATGATTTCTTCTAGAATCGGATAATTTGTTTGCAAAAATAAGAGATTTGATGCAAAAGATGCAAGTTCAAATGCACGTCGACGCTAATCATCGATGAGGTAACTCCAGTCTTGACTCAATGTTTTGATTGCGGAAAGATTCTCATGCTGCAATGTTTTGCTCTTTCAAACTTCTTCCTACCTCAAACTTCTGTTGTTTCCCAAGATGATGGATTCAGAAAATGATAAATCGGTGATGACCATTAACGATAGTTTTGCATCTGCTGATGTTGAAGATGAACCAGATAACAGGTCAAAAGCAAAAAAAGTGTATGCAGTGAGCCTGAAAAGGCCCGTGTTTATGCTCAATCGGAAAGACCTTGTGCTTGAGGTTGCTCGCGATTTGTTTGCTCGTCAAAAATGGAACACTTTCAGAGAACTGACCACCAAACTGCTAATTGGCGACACCCGAATTGCTGGTTTCATGCTAATGAAGCACTTCTTTGTCTTTCTTTACGCTGAAGACGTTCGCCGCTTAAACACTCCCGAACTGCGCAATTTCATAAAAAACTTTCTGTTACTTTTAGACAACCAAAAGTATGAATTTCTTCTCGAACTGGCAGTTTACATTCTCAAAAACGATCAGGTATTACTGTCTGAAAAGCCGTATCTCGTTGATTTGCGCAACGACATGGAGAAAAGAATTCGTCGTGTAAACTGGACAAAGGCACAGACGATGCTGCGTCAAACGTATCAGCTTTATGAGGAGTATCTCGAGTTCATCGAGTGGAAAACTCAAAATGATCCTCGAAACATTGCCACATTCTCAGTCCAATCCAGTATCAACAGCAACTCTTATATGAGCTCAGTTTTAGAGCATTTATCAAATCGGATCAAAGACAACCTGAATCGACTGGTCAGCAACAACCGAAACGTGGAGATGAACTTGGACATTGGCGTGTTAATGCTTCTTCAGTTGTACGATAATGACAACGAACTGATTGAGGCACTGGAACTACTTGAACGATACGCAATGAGTAATCCCGACAACATGAATGCACACATCTACATTGTAGAGTTTCTCGCCAGGTTTCCCGACATACCTCATGACTACAAGATCCGAATCAACGCCTTGCAAAATATTGTCCGCCTTTGCCCCGACAGTCGTTACACACTTCGCCTGGTGAAAGAACAGCCCCAAGTTAGCGGTCTTACTGTGGTTGAGCGCCTTCAAATGTTGGTCGATTTTGTGGACTACAAAGTGAACCACCGGCTAAAAAGAGCATGGAAGCTATTGGACAAAACATTATCCGCTTTTATTAGCAGTTCTGGAAACGATATAACTTACGTACAACATGTGCAATTATTCTTTACTGACCGTTTGCTCTACTGGGAGCGAATTCACTTCAACCTCTCCGAATTACAGTCGGTACTTCCAAAGTTGAGACAGTATCATCAAGCGCGAAGCAGTACTGATTACAGTTCAGACATTTCCAGCGCTTCCGATTCATCCTTTAGTTTTGGCAATTATCAGAACACCTTGTTAGCGAGGTTAGCTAGCACCAGTCATCAACAATTCACTAGTCAACAACAAGCAGCATCAAGTGATTCTGCCATTTCGAAACACGATTACTACCTCTACTTGTACAAAAGCAATGTCCTTCAACGTCTAAGTCAACTAGAATTGCCATTTTCTCCCAATTTGAAGCAGTACAAGGAGATTTTAGCAACGCTTTGATTCAGTGTAAATATTTTTGAGTAAAAGAATTTGCATTTGAACCTACACTCGGTAGTTGTCACTTTTTCCGTCTGATGGAAGTACTGTCGTCGAGGGCTAGGGATCGGGTGCTGATTGCCGTTTGTGGGCGGTGCCTATCAGCGCATGTGACTGCAATCAAGTGCTTTCTCGGCCGTGCTTGTAGCTCCGCCCACTCTCTGCCTCAGCATCTAACACCGAATCTGCCTATCGGCCGATCTGCTCGCCGCTGAGCATTCGGAGTGATCCGAAATTCGGACCAGAACGGTTGTGCAACACCCGGGCACTTCACTACAGTGGGGAGGGAGCGAGAGAGAGAGAGTACTGTTCGCCCATTCCGCTAGCAGCACCAGCAAGCGATGCGACTCCACTTCGCTGGCAGTGGTGGCGGGCGCCAGTGTTGACCAGAGCAGTGGACGGCACCCCTACCCTGCCCCATTCACTTTCTTCGGCAGCAGCAGCACAACTTTGCTTTCTTTCATTCTTCTTCTTGCGCGTCTTCTCAAGACCTGTTCTGGCGGCGAGGCCGATCACCTACTACCACTACCGACACCACACACACACACACTCTCCCTCTCTTTCTCCCGTGGCCTGTCGCCGCTCCTGCCCTGTGGCCACCACCACCACCACCACCAGTTCCTTCACTCAATTCCTTGTCTATTCATCAGTGCCGAATGCAGTGCAAAAGAAGTACGGCGCCGATGTAAAACCTCGATACACCGCTGTCTCTCTCTCTCTCTCTCTCTCTCTCTTTCCGTGTTTGTGTTGTTGTGTTGTGCTCCATTTGAGTTTGACATTTGAGTGCACTGTGTGTCTGCCGGTGGACATTAGCCGGTGCACTGACGATCACCGCTTTCAACTTTTGCAGCAGTTATCCTAGTGACGCCAATGATTCATAGTAAAAACTACCTTGTAGTGTTAGGGCCGAATTCCTTTGGTCCATTTTAATCGCCTACAAATGACTTCTTTCAACTCTGTTCATCTTTGCCAAGATGAATGTAAAAGAAATGATCGGCGGCTGCATTGTTTGTGGTGAAGAGCAAATCAGCGATGAGAACTCGTTGATCTACTGTGACGGACCTTGTGGACACGGCTTTCACCAGGGTAAATCTAAATCTCAATTGGTTTGTCCACTTCAAGTTTTGTTAATCTGATTTTTGTGAATTTGTGAAAACTAGCTTGCTATGGCGTCGTCGAGATCCCCAGCGGAGACTGGATTTGTCGTCTCTGTGAGTTTTCAGTTTCTCAACCGGTAAGTTTTCCTTTCAACAATGTTCTTTTCACCACTAACTTGCTATGTCCACAGAAATGCGAGCTATGCCCTTCGACTTTTGGAGGCTTCAAACCGACAGGCAACAAAAAGTGGGCTCATGTAATATGCGGCCTCTTCTTGCCGGAAATCACATTTGGCGACAAGACTTTGATGGAACCGATTATTCTTGATGGAATACATCCTGAGATTTTCAAGAAACCGTGCATTTTATGTAAAACGGCAAGTGACGCCTCTTACGGCGCTTGTGTGACTTGTAGTCATCCGAGTTGCAAAACTTCCTTTCATGTCACATGGTGAGTACACAGGTTTTTATTTCTGAAGTTATATTCACTTTTTTGTTTTTTAAATAGTGGACAAGCTGAAGGCCTTCTTGTCGAGGAGACTGTCAAGTCTAAAAACGACCCATCTGATCCTGGAACAACCTATTTTGTGGCATACTGCTCATCACATTTGCATAAGCAAGTAAGGCTTTTCTAAACTCAAAGTATTTAATTATTACTAAGCACACTGTTTAACCGAACAGGAACATGTTGCGAAAAACCGAGCCAATTCGTCTAATATGACATATTCATATCGTATAATGCCCAAGATTAAACTGAAAGACCAACTTGCTCATAAATCCTCTTCCCTCAACCTTTCCTCCTCATCATCGACTACCTCTAGTGCTCCACCTTCTCCAGCATCTACAAAGAAAAAATCGTCCAGTAGTCGCTCTGCCACTTCATCGAAAGCTGATCGAGAACCAAAGTCTTCATCGAAAGACTCGCGCAATAATACAAAGTCAGTTTCAAAAAAGTCAGCAAGTGCATTAGACTCTAGCAGCAGTTTTAGCCCGTTTACAAACGGCTCCACAGCTTCATTGCCCGGAAACTTACCTTTAAGCTTCTCAAGTGAGCATTCTGCTTATAAATCTTCTTCACATAAACTCGAAAGTCTTCATCGTAAGAGTAATAAGCACAAGTTAGAAAACGATTCACCTTCAGCTAAGCACAGCATTTCAACAAGTAAGCTTTCCAAAATGGACAACACACTGTCACCATTTGACATTAGTGCAAAACATCGCATCGTTTCGCCATCGACATCGTCGGTAAATCAGCCACCGCGAAAGCGTCATCACTCTGATTCGACATCGTCGTCGGACAAATCCTCGTCTGATGACTCTAGTGACAATTCAGATTCAGACTCTAGCTCATCCTCCTCCTCCTCCTCTTCTTCATCTAATCGCTCACGAGTGTCGCACAGGAGTAGAAAGTCGAACTCTTCTCGCTCCTCATCGGATGACTCTAGGCCGAATTCTTCTTGTTCATCGCATTCCGAGGAAGAAGTTGAGAAAAGTAAAGTCAAAAAGGCCTTCAAAAAACCACAGCAGATAATCGCTGAAACGATACGTGACTCTATGGTGTTTCCTAAAACAACAGCAGCCACAAGTAAGAAAGCCAAACAGCCAAATGATAGCGCAATCAGCAGCAGCAACAACACTAGCAGTGAAAGTTTACACTCTTCCTCGATCGATAAAAGCAGCTCCAACGGCAGAACAAAATCTGATATCTTTAGCGATAAGGGCAAAGCGTCGAAGTCAGCTAAGCAAAGCAGAACAAATGTTCCTTCATCAAAGAAAGATCTTTCGCACAATTCATCGGCAAGTTCTTTAGGCTACACCAGCAGCACAAAGCCACCTGCTAGCAGCGATTCAAAGTCAATGTTTGTCTTAAAATCAGACGGTAGTGATGATGAAACGTCGGAATACAGTAAACGTTCAAAGAAATCTCAAAAATCGTCAAAGCCAAAGAAATCTGCTAATGCGTCTAGTTCTGTTAACTCAAACCGCTCATCAAAGAAAATTACCTCTAATAAGTATGTAATTTCTGGAAGCTCCGATGAATCTTCCGACGAAAAGTGTCCCACTGACGCGTCCGACGACGAAAAGTCAAAGTACAAATCTGAAGACGATTCGGATAATGATTTTGAGTTTAAAAAGAAAAGTGCAAAAATGACTTTTAACAAAAAGTCAACTACTGAAAAGAAACCCAAGGCCGTCGCTCGATCAAGGACCACGTCGTCTTCGAGTAGTAGAAAGAAATCAGTCAGTGATGAGTCGAAGCCAATCATTATTCCAAGTGGAAGGCGAAGTCCAGTTAAGAAGGAGTTGCCCCAGCAAACCACAGCAAGTATTAAAGGAAAGCCGCTGGCAAAAGACGCATTCACTGATCCGCCTGTTCCGGCGTCTGCTCGTGCACGGAGAACATCGGCCTCTAGATCGCCTGCCAAAAGCAAAATGAAAATAAGGTAAGTTACTTTTTCCTCGTCTGAGTTTCTTGACGATTGGAAAACAAGCGGAGTTAGACATTGAAGTGTTTCAGTGATGCCCAAGTATTTTTGCTAAACACCCAATGAAGGCTTCCTCACAATAGTCAAGTCAATGCAGATTCTCCAAAAATCTGTCTTCCTTTAGCCCCCACCATTATTTTTTATTTTTTTCAAATTTTTATTTGCAAATAGTGCCCCCCAAACTGCTGATTTGAAGCCTGATGTGGAGAACATGGAAACAGATGCAGTGTTTGTAGGAGAGAGTGATAGTAACACAATGTCGAGTCCATTACGACCTCACAGGGGAGCCCTGAAAGCGGCACCACCATTTGTGGTTAATCACCATGACTCTCGAGTAATGTCCCCCAGTGTGAATGACGACTCCACCATGAGTTCGGTTTTGTCACCTCCACACTCCTACCGATCGTCTTTCATGAGGTTATTTTTGGCTTTTTTTTGTTTTTAAGATTTATTATTAAAATTCACTCTCTTTCGTGTTTATTCACAGCCCATCTGGCCGAAGCGCAATGGAACATAGTGGCCTCAACATTCACATTCCTGTCAAGACCGGTGCTACTACTAAGGAGCCACCTGTGGCGAGTCAACGCATTTCACCGCGAATCGCCGCTCTCAATGAAGCCAGACCGCCCCCTCAAATGGCGAACTTGTTCGTTCCTAGAACAATTGAAGAACTTATTGAGTTTCAAACAGTCAACACTACCAATTTTCTGCTCAGTCGAGAGGAAAATCGTGACATTGCAGCGCTGATGCGCCAGTTGAACTCGCTGATTCAGGAAAACTCGCAGACTGAGAGAAGTATAGAGTCTCTGTCGAAAGAGCTAAACTGTCTCATGACACTGAACAAGGAACTTAAAGGTGTGGAGATAACTAGTAGTACTTCAATCATTTCCAAACGATCTCAAGCGGCTGAACTGACGTTAAACGGTGTGAATGGTGAAGCTTTAGGGAGATCGAGAGCGCTCACGGCCACCTCGGGCATTGGCTCTCTGGTTACCACTCCCAGCCTTTCATCTTCCGAACTGGACTCGCAGTCCTCGTGTTCCATGCCAACGAGCCACCCGACCACTTTTACTTCAATACTAAACAGTAAACCTAGCGCCACTCCGACTTTGATATCTTCTCTCAACTCTGTGACACCTCTCGCTCCGACGACGACCACTGCAAGCTCCATGATCTACTCTAGCTCATCTCACCAGCCACTGTCCACGACGACACTTCAAAATGCAAACACTTCAATGGCCAACATTCTAGCGGCGAATAATCATTTCAGCCAACACGGCCAACAAGCTCCGTATAATCAACCCTTTGTTCTCAACTCGAACCACGCCACTAATGCAAGTACTTCACGATCTCGTCAGGGAGAAATCAATCTCTCAGCCTCCTTATCTGCCTCACTCTACGCCTCCGCTGGGGTGCATCATCAACCGCCTCAGCAGGTGACACCTTTGGGCAGTCACCTTCATGGTCAGGTGCCAGGAGGCCATCCGTTGGATAATCTGACAAATCCAGCCATTCTCAACCAACTGAACCACCTTGTGACGACTGGGCAAGTGCCTACGGGTGCTCTTCGCCACTCCGCCTCGTACCAGCAACTGATAGGAGCATCTGCGCAGTACGAACAGCACCAGCAGCAGCACTCTGCATCCAATGGAAGCAACATCAATGGTCGACATGCCCCGCTCACTCGAAGAAACAGCGGCAATTCGGCCGCAGCTTTGAATCACCACCACTCAATGGCGAATGGAGTTGGCACTGGCACTTCATCTACCTCTGCCAGTAATCGACCATACGAAAACAGCCTGGGCCATGCGTCCACCAATGGCGGCCCAAATTCCGCCCACTTTTATAACCACAACTAGTGTTGTAGGCATTCATCTGCGTAGATTCATCATCCTACTTTGTTTCCTTGTCACAACTCTATGGTATTTGGACGATAACATTTAATGTAAACGCAAACGTACTATTTTATATGATTTCAAACTCATTCTCACCGTTTCGACAATTCCTTACGTAAATTCTTTATGTAATCATATATGTATTCCTTTCTTATTGTATTTATTTTTGTATTTATAACTCATCTGGCAAAAGAGAAAGCATTTCAATACCCTATCCACCTTTTTGTCTGCTCGCTTTTTCTTTCTTTCCACAAGGCTATTTTTCGAGCAACCGAAACCGAAATTAACATTCAACATTTAGCTGTAAGGTTGACTGGAATTGCGCTCAATTGCTTGCAAACCAAAACTATAATGCTCTAATTAACTTTAGCTGCTCTTGCATGCTACAAATTATACTCAACATGCTCACCGTTTCATTTGGGCAAAAACTTGAAGCCCTGTGTTTTTTGAATATTTTATTTTTAAATTACCGAAATTATATCAGCAGTTTTAAAGCTGACTAAACGAGAATTGTTTTTTTCATCATCATTCAGCGATACTCAAGCTAGCTTTACACAACAACACGTGTCACAATTGCAACGGCTTTTTTGTTCTGTTTTGTTGTTTTTCAACTACTATGGTAGAGGCAGTGAGTGACTGTAACAGTAAAGGTCACATGGAGAAGATNATTTTAAATTACCGAAATTATATCAGCAGTTTTAAAGCTGACTAAACGAGAGTTGTTTTTTCATCACCCAGCAATACTCAAGCTAGCTTTACACAACAACACGTGTCACAATTGCAACGGCTTTTTTGTTCTGTTTTGTTGTTTTTCAACTACCATGGTAGAGGCAGTGAGTGACTGTAACAGTAAAGGTCACATGGAGAAGATATTGATGAGCGACAGCACAACTGATGATGATGATGATGATGATGACGAGTACTTGCCTAGCTTAACGATGAATCGAGCTAAAAGTAAAAAGTGGTTCAAGCTCCAGCTGATATTTGCGAGCACCTTCTTCTGCTTCATCAACATGGTCTTTATGGAGCAGCTACTTCGGTGAGTAGTACAGCGTCTGTTTCTTGTGAAAGCGTCATCATCAACAACAACACTTTTTCTTGTAGAATCTTACCCAACTCAGCCAACTTCATTGCGCTTGTGCAACACGTGACAACCATTACCATTTGCCTCATTAAACTTCGCGGCTTACCATTTGGCCTGCTCAACTCACCACCTCCTGTGATCGCCGTCCATCATTACTTTCCTCTGGTCCTGCTCAATCTGGGCTCCATTCTGAGCAACAGCGCCTCGCTAAACCNAACGCTGCTTTTTTGTTTGTAGAATCTTACCCAACTCAGCCAACTTCATTGCGCTTGTGCAACACGTGACAACCATTACCATTTGCCTCATTAAACTTCGCGGCTTACCATTTGGCCTGCTCAACTCACCACCTCCTGTGATCGCCGTCCATCATTACTTTCCTCTGGTCCTGCTCAATCTGGGCTCCATTCTGAGCAACAGCGCCTCGCTAAACCAGGGCATTCCCATTCCGCTGAACATGATCTTCAAATCGTCCAGCCTCATTGCCAACCTCTTTCTGGGCGTACTCTTTCTGCATCATCGCCCTCCACCTGGCAAGTACTGCGCAGCTGTGGTCATCACACTGGGTCTGATCCTCTGCACATATGAGGACTACCGGGTTCGGCGGGCCGTCGAGGAGCAAGCGGAGGTGGTGATGGCTGAAAAGATGGACACACCGGGACACGCCACTGGATCTCAGCCACTAGGCATTGCCTTCCTCAGTCTTTCGCTGCTCCTCTCCGCGGGCATCGGCATCTACCAGGAGTCACTGGTTCGCCGGTTCGGCAAGTACTCCGATGAAGCTCTGCTCTACGTGCATCTCCTCTCACTGCCGCTTTTCTGCCTCGTCGCCTTCTCCGATCTACTTCACCACTGGACGATCTTCACTGCGTGTTTGTTTGACCCGTGCTCGCCCACCCTTCCCAATTACCTTACACTGATACTACTGCTGTGCACTGTTGCATCACAATTCGGCTGCATCAGCTGTGTTTACAGGCTAGCAACAGAGTGCACCTCTTTCACCGTCTCCCTGGTGGTCACTAACCGAAAGTTTCTCTCCCTGATGTTCTCCATTTACTACTTTGGCAACGTCTTTACAGTGAAGCACTATCTAGGAAGTGGAATGGTTTTTGCGGGAACGCTGGCAATATCTTTCATCTGGTCCTGAATAAGTTGAGGCTGAGATCTCTTTTACAAACTGGCCAAATCCGTTTTTCGAGTGTGTGATTGTTTTTTACTCACCTAAATTCTATTCTGACGTAGCGCGAGCAGCGTTATGCTGACGAGCCCAATAAACGCTGTTGAAGTGCGTGCCCTTTACCTCTCATCATTCACTCTTCATCCTTTCTCCTGACAAGACACAGTCGTCTTCTCACCCCACAAAATCTTTTCACCCATCTCTCGCCGCCATATCTGACATCATCATGGTGGACGCCATTGTCAATTACATTAACTCGGTTGACCCTGTCCGACCTGAACAGCCAGCGGAGGCCCAGCGCCAGATCGCCCGAAAGGTGCTCTACGCTCTCTGCAACTCACTGGGCAGCATCTTTCTGGTCTACGAGGGCAGTCGACGAATGCTTCGCAAGGCTAACGTTTTCAACCAACGAGACGTTCATCTGACCAACCCGATTGCCTACCTGAACCGAATCGCCTCCGAGGTGGGCCCCACCGTGACCATCAACGGCAGTGCCACCGTTCAGCTGATGTACTGTCACCGAACAGTCGTCAAGTTGGGCTCTCACTGTTGCCAGCTGCTGCTCCTCGGCCCGCCCACTGTCATCGTCTTTGCGGACCACCGAACTGGAAGCGAGGAGGCGCAGCAGGAGCACGCTCAACGCTGCTCCTGCGGCCACATGTGCCACTCTAACCCGCCCACCTACGCCCTACGCCCTGGTGACCGCATCGCCCTCAACTCTGGCAACTTCTCCGTGTCAGCCAGCTCTGAGAAGCACTGCATCTACATGAGCAAGAGTGAGTTTCTCGGCCAGATCACCTTCCACTCGGCGGCGGGCACTGAAGCGATCAAGGCCTTTGTGAACTCGCTGCCGGACACTGCCAAGCCGATGGTCTCATAGGCGCACTGCTGAGCTGCAATTCAAGTTCCAGTTTTGGCTAGCCACTCTACGTTGTAGATTCATTTTCACTTTTGAATAAATGTAGGCATACAGCACATTGCTGTGCCTGGAAGAACCTCATTCTGTGAGGTCGATTTTGCGCCGAGCTTTGTGACCTCTAATCGTCAGAGAGGAAGGAATCCTTCCTCCCGGTGAAGAGTACGTACTTCTTACTACTTTTTACGATGCCAGCATTGAGTTGCTGTTATCAAGAAAGTGGCGCCAAAGTACCATTATCTGCCCCCTGAAAGAAATTGCCTGCGTTGCTTTTCGAGTGACCTTGCTCCTTGCCTACGCTGTGCTTCTGCGTCGCTGTTGCTCTCACCATTTGCGCTAATCATTCGAAAGCTGCTTCATCAACACAAACACCGCCGTTGTGCCAATGTACACTCACTCACACCAGACACTCTCTTATCACTAGCTTAATTCCTTTTACCCTCTTTTGCTCTCCTCTGCTTCATTCTCCTGAGCTGGCACTACTACGACCTGAGCTCTGTTCCTGTGCTGACACTACGATTTAGATGCCCCAAACGACCCCTGTTCCCCACCCTCTTTGTGGCCTGATCCTGCGAACGTGATGGAGACTTTCCGCTATGGAAACCCACAATTGGACAGTTTAAGCAGAAAAAGCACAGTCAACCAAGTGCCGCCGTATCTGCTGGAAAGATCTGAAAGCTTCCCCCTCAAAGACGCCGAAAAGAAGCCTCTGCTACGATCGGTATATCAACGAGGTGAAAGCCAACCAGCAGTCAGTCGTTGTCCAGCAGCCGACAAGTTCACCTCTAGCCTGGCCTAGGACAGCGCTCGTTTGTCCCCTACTTTCCTTCCTACTGCATCTTTCTGGAGAAGAAGAGCTTCATCTTAGCTTTACCCTCGTCTACAGTTCACGTTTAAAAAAGTTAAAAATTTAAGCTTTTCTCTGTCTCATTTTCTTCCCCGCATCTTTCGCCGGAGCCCCCTCTTGCTCCCCTCTTTCAGCTAGCGTAGCCTTGGGCCGTCCCGCAAAACAAGAACCCCCTGGCCACCTACATAAATTAGCAGTTTTTTACTTGTAACATTTTTGGTTCCCAGAGTTTTAGTTTAATTTTTATGTGGCCGAGGCCGTTTATTGAGAAAAAACGAGAGCAAAAAAGACAAATGACAAAATCAGTGTGTAGAGCGTTCGAGCTCGACGAGAGGGTCTCTGTGGGCAGCAGCGGTGAAGAAATTGAGCAGAGAAACAGATCGGCAATCGGTGCCGCTTTTGGAGTGAAGCGTGATCGGTGGCCGACGGTCGGTGTGTGGAGTCGACATTTTGAATGGTGAGACGTAGCTTTTTTTTATAATAAAAATGGTGAGGTGCTCGACAGTAATGAGCATTGAAAGAGTGGACAGCAGTGTTACACTGCCAGTGTACGTGTGTATCGGCACACGCTCTGTTGGACAACGGTGTACGTGTAGTTTATACAGGCAAAACTCAACCTATGGACGCGCTAGCAAGTATGGACGCCAACAGCGCCACCATGCTCAACAGTGAGCGTTTTTGCGGCACGTTCGCATCTGTCGACAAACACCGCAGGACAGATTTTGTCCATATGTTGAGTTTTGCCTGTATACTGAAACAGAGATGCTAGAAACTTCGAAAACGAGAGAGCATGCGCGTGAATGAGGAGACTCATCGATGGTTATCTGAGTGTGCGCAGCACACAATTTTCTATCGTTTCTGTATGATTCTTTTATCATTTTATCTCCTACCTTACCAGTCATTTGATAGTAAACAGTTTATCTAATCCACACTTTCCTTTCTT